TCGTGTGATTACTTGTTCCCAATGTGTGAATATGTGTGTGCGGAGTGGGGATGGGCTTTACGTATTTTACTGTAATGTTATATGTATGTTGTCGTGTAATTACTTGTTCCCAATGTGTGAATATGTGTGTGCGGAGTGGGGATGGGCTTTACGTATTTTACTGTAATGTTATATGTATGTTGTCGTGTAATTACTTGTTCCCAATGTGTGAATATGTGTGTGTAGAATGGGGATGGGCTTTACGTATTTTACTGTAATGTTATATGTATACAGCGTTACATTTTGACGCTTGGAAACTTTGCAAATCGCCTTCTTTAAAGGCGTATTCTAATAATTACTTAATAGCTATTTGCAAGTCAAAACAACATGTTTTTAAATAATGTAAAAAGTTCCAATATGAAATCAAGCCATTGTTTAAAATTAATTAAGGGGGTTTTAAGTGAGAAAAGAAAAAAACTGAATATACCGAGGTTCCCCCACAATTTAGAAGCCGCCATCATAGTTAATCTGACTCTGTGGAGACAATATCCTTAATCTCCTTTAAATGTATATGATAAATATCATTAACCTTTCTGACATATATATATATTATTCCTGTAAACTCCCAGTGGAGCCAACGGAAGGTGTTGTTGCAGTTACTTGTAGCAGGTTGGTTTTTACGGGGTGGAGTTGCTAGCCCAACCCTCCCCCTTTTTCATCCTGGACTTGGGACCAGGCAAAGGCGGAGGTTGGCATGTTTGGTGTGACAGGGATTTGAACCCGCGACCCTAAGATTACGAGTCGAGCGCCCTAACCACCTGGCCATGCCGGGCTTCTGACATATCTACTACATGATAAATATCATTAACCTTTCTGACATATATATACTATATGATAAATATAATTAACCTTTCTGACATATATATACTATATGATAAATATCATTAATCTTTCTGATATATATACTACATGATAAATATAATTAACCTTTCTGACATATATACTATATGATAAATATAATTAACCTTTCTGACATATATACTATATGATAAATATAATTAACCTTTCTGACATATATACTATATGATAAATATAATTAACCTTTCTGACATATATACTATATGATGAAAAAACCTGAACAACTTATATATCAAAACAAAACATTTATTAAATGAAATAGTCTCCATTCTTATCCATGATGTTTTTCCATCTTACAATCAGGTTGTTAATGCCCTGATTAAAGAAAGCACTTGGCTTTGAACCAAAAAACATGTCGATGTCTTCTTTAACATCTTCCATATTTGCATACGTTTCCCAATAAGATGGTGTTGCAGCGAACGAAAAGATGGTAATTTGATGATGATATACATCTAGAGAATATGGTGGGTGGGGGAGAACTTCCCAACACAACTCCATAATCTTGTGTTGCGTCGAACGTGACAAACGTGCCACATGCATTGTCGTGAAGAAGAAGAACAACTTTCCAATTTCTGATGAAGGGCTTGATTTAAACGTTCCAGTTGCTGACTATAGATCTCCGCATTGACAGTTCGCTGTGGATTTAGGAGTTCGAAATAAATTACTCCTTTGATGTCCCACCAAATGCAAAGTATCACTTTCTGCGGATGGAGTCCATGTTTTGGGGTCGGAAGTGTTTTTTGTCTAGGACCGAGCCATTGTTTTTGGCA